CACACACACACACACACACACACACACACACACACACACACACGCTCGCACGCGCGCATGTGTGTGCGCCCACGCCCGCTCCTTCGCCTCATCCATCAGATGATTGGCGGCAAAGTCATCGTTTACAAACCCCGTGGCCCACCCGATTTCCCGCTAACCCGTGATCGCCTCTCGAGAGCCGCCACAGGTACACTGACCTCTCTCTCTCTCTCTCTCTCTCTCTCTCTCTCTCTCTCTCTCTCTCTCTCTCTCTCTCTCTCTGTGGGCGTCGCTCCACTGCACAACAATATCCATGCATTTGGACGCAGCAGGGACCAGGCGCATTTCGCCCAATCCCAACGTTATGAATGTATCGGGTAAAGAAAGCGTCAAAATGCATGTACAGTATTATGTAGTGGAGCGTGGCGCTCTCTCTCTCTCTCACACACACACACACACACACACACACCACGGGATCCCAACTCTCCAAGCGCGCTGCGAACTCACTTTCTCTTCGGGAAGCCCTCTCCGAAGTTCGAACGCGCGCGGCACAGCGAATGCAACGACGGCGATGGCATGGCAGGGATCCCATTTCCCCGATCCCTACTCTCTCTCTCTCTCTCTCTCTCTCTCTCTCTGTGGGCCTTGTTCCACTACTCTCCACATTCACAGAAGACAAAAGTCATGGCGGTGCATCTTGCAATGTTCTAGCGAAAGATTCACTTTCGTTTTGCAGACGTCGAGACTCGAGAGTAGTGGAGACTCTCTCTCTCTCTCTCTCTCTCTCTCTCTCTCTCTCTCTCCCCACACACACACACAGAGTGTGCGCCCGCGGATCGGGACAACACCTAACACGTTGCTGACGACTCCTAACATACCTTGCCAACTCCGAGTGGACTCAATGGATGCTGATCTGCCTGACAGAATCGTCCACCTATTCGATGAAGACGAAGATGGCGAAGACCTCAGACATCTCCTGCACATGAATCTGGCTTGTCGGCGCGGTACTGATGACAACCCATTGACGATGAATGGCAGAGTACACGGGCTAACGAATTAGAAGCCGCGCGCCGTCTCTTTTCTCGATGGCTTCTTGTTGCTGGTGAGCAGCGGCGGGAAGCGACGACATCTCTGCCGACGGAGGAAGAACGCAGTGGAGGGTGCGCGGATACTCCGACGAGCATGAGCGCTCATCTCCGCGCCACATGGTTCCTGGGCAAGACGGGTGATGAACCTGCCCCGCTTATCAGCCCTTGTTCATGTTTTTTTTTTTTTTGGTATGGCCAGTACCAAGAAGGGGCCGGCGGAACGTCATCTGCCGACGAAGGAAGAACGCAGGCGGAGGGTGCGCGGATACTCCGACGAGCATGAGCGCTCATCTCCGCGCCACATGGTTCCTGGGCAAGACGGGTAATGACCCTGACCCGTTTATCATCCCTTGTTCATGTTTGTTTTTTCTTTGGTATGGCCAGTACCGAGAAGTGGCCGGCGGAACATCGGCAACGAGGCCTCTGTGTCCTCAGAGCTGGGCGGACAGCGGACAGCGGAGCAGTGTCCCGGAGTACCAGTGCCACAAAGCACTGTACAAAAGTTGGATTGGCCGGACAGTGCAAAACTCCAAAACTTGCACACTTGTCCGCCCAGACTCCAGGCTCACTGTCCGAAACGGGGGAGGGTCCGTGGATTCCTAGGAGGACCGTCCGGAAAACGACTTGTGCAGGCTGGGAGCTGTACAAAAATGGACAGTCGACGTTCCAAGCCATTTCTGACAACTGTCCAAGTGATTTCGCACTTGGACAGCGGACAATAAGTGGAGCGAAGTAGAACTGTCCATTTTTGTACAGTGGACAGTAGTGGAGCGAGACCCCTACTGTCCGTGAATGTACAGCTCCCAGCCTGCAAAATTCGTTTAGTGGAAAGTCCTTCAAGGGACTCACCATGAGGACCGGAATTCGGACAGTGCACCTAGGGTCTCACTCCAACCACTGTCCGCTATACACAATTTCGTATAGTTGCTGTATAGCTGTCAGCACGTCATCAGAACGCGAAAAGATGTATAAAACCCGCCGTGGCTCCACTTACTATCTGCTACACAAAGTCTCCAGTTCCTGACTTCACTACGCAACACCCTAACAGCACTATAAGACAACAATTTGTCGGTCCAGACTTGAGGTTCACTATACAAAAAAGGGGCGGTTCCGAGGTTTCCTTCGAGGAGTATCCGAGTAACGACTTTTGCAGGCTGGGAACTATACACCGACGGAGAGTGTAATCTCCGACCCATGTCTGAGAGCTATCCGAGTGATTTCGCACGTGTATAGTGTACAGTAAGTGGAGTGATGCCGAACTCTCCGAATTCGGAGAGTGTATAGTAGTGGAGCGAGACCCCTAGAGTCCGGGCGGACAAAATCCTTTGGACTCCCTGTCTTGTAGTTCTATCACTGCGTCCGTAGTGAACTCACGAATTTGAGAGGTGGACAGCGTACAGTAAGGGCCTCGCCACACCACTATCGAATTGCATTTTTTTTCGACAAGTGTCAGAAATCTTCGATAGTCCGCAATTCGATAGAATCCCCCCCCGTCGCCAAACAGCACTATAGAATAGGTGGAGTATCGAATGTTCTCCATTCCAGGTCCACTTTCGATAATGCTGTGTGGCGACGGCGCCTCTCGTTATGAATTGTTTGCAGAATTGCATCTGACGTTTTTCCGGACCACAAACGTTGCAGCCCTCTGGAAATTTGCTGCTCGACTATCCAAAAGGAAAAAACAAAAACTGACCCTCGTCAGTGTGATGGTTGTGGCGGCTAGTGCGTGCGTGGGCGTTTTTTCAATAGTGTGGAAAGGAGGCTATTGAAAGAAGGCCATTGCAGGCGGACGTTCGATAGGGCCTATCGAATTCTAATTTCTGACACTTATCGAAGAATTTTGAAGCCTCAGTTTTCGATAGGATGTGTGGCGATGCAAAACTATCGAAAAAACGTAATTCGATAGTGGTGTGGCGAGGCCCTAAGTGGAGCGATGTCGCTCTGACAACTGTCCAAGAAATGTCCCAAAAATTGTACAGTGGACAGTAGTGGAGCGAGACCCTTTCTGTAAAAAACGGGGATCCCACATGGTTCCGCGTCGTACAGCATTGAAAAACAACGCACTGTCAGGCAATCTGCTCAGGTTAAACCAGAATGCTGTGCTGGAATTACAGAGCCTGAGAGTAAAGGCCAGTAGTTAGCCTGACCAGTAGCTTTTGGACAGAGAAAGGGCCTCCCCGCACGGCACACGAAACGAGAACAATACGAGTGCATCTGCCCACCAAAAGTGGCAAGATACACTCGCTACTATTTATCTAGGTTACCAATGGTCCGGAGACCGGACGTCTCCACCAGACGTCTCCCCCGGACGCCTCCCTCCCCCGTCGTCCGGATTTCCGGACGATGCCTTTTTGGCACCAAAAAAAAAAAAAAAAAATTATGACAGTGTTGCGCATGGCCTAGAGACCCCCC